GATAGAGGGCCATGAGACTTAGACCTGAGTGCAAAAATGGAGGCTCTAGCCCCTTCCAGAGCTGAGATATCGAAACTCAAAAATTCGGCCCGAAAAAAAAACGACAGTGGTACCCCTTTACGGTTTTTTTTTTTTTTGGGCGAAAAATTAAGTTTCTCCAATCTTCTCAAAACTCTGGATTCTGATAGAGGGCCATGAGACTTAGACCTGAGTGCAAAAATGGAGGCTCTAGCCCCTTCCAGAGCTGAGATATCGAAACTCAAAAATTCGGCCCGAAAAAAAAACGACAGTGGTACCCCTTACGTTTTTTTTTTTCGGGCGAAAAATTAAGTTTCTCCAATCTTCTCAAAACTCTGGATTCTGATAGAGGGCCATGAGACTTAGACCTGAGTGCAAAAATGGAGGCTCTAGCCCCTTCCAGAGCTGAGATATCGAAACTCAAAAATTCGGCCCGAAAAAAAAAACGACAGTGGTACCCCTTACGTTTTTTTTTTTTCGGGCGAAAAATTAAGTTTCTCCAATCTTTCCAAAACTCTGGATTCTGATAGAGGGCCATGAGACTTAGACCTGAGTGCAAAAATGGAGGCTCTAGCCCCTTCCAGAGCTGAGATATCGAAACTCAAAAATTCTACCCGAAAAAAAAACGACAGTGGTACCCCTTACGTTTTTTTTTTTCGGGCGAAAAATTAAGTTTCTCCAATCTTTCAAAACTCTGGATTCTGATAGAGGGCCATGAGACTTAGACCTGAGTGCAAAAATGGAGGCTCTAGCCCCTTCCAGAGCTGAGATATCGAAACTCAAAAATTCGGCCCGAAAAAAAACGACAGTGGTACCCCTTACGTTTTTTTTTTCGGGCGAAAAACTTAAGTTTCTCCAATCTTCTCCAAAACTCTGGATTCTGATAGAGGGCCATGAGACTTAGACCTGAGTGCAAAAATGGAGGCTCTAGCCCCTTCCAGAGCTGAGATATCGAAACTCAAAAATTTGACCCGAAAAAAAAACGACAGTGGTACCCCTTACGTTTTTTTTTTCGGGCGAAAAATTGCGTTTCTCCAATCTTCTCAAAACTCTGGATTCTTATAGAGGGCCATGAGACTTAGACCTGAGTGCAAAAATGGAGGCTCTAGCCCCTTCCAGAGCTGAGATATCGAAACTCAAAAATTCGACCCGAAAAAAAAAATGGCCCTCTATCGAATCCAGTGAGAACCCCAATTACGTTGACAGGGGTTGTCGTTTTTTCGGGCGAAATTTGAGTTTCTCTAATCTTCTCGAAACTCTGGATTCTGATAGAGGGCCATGAGACTTGAGTGCAAAAATGGAGGCTCTAGACCCTTCCAGAATCCAGAGTTTCGAGAAGATTGGAGAAACTTAATTTCTCGCCCCGAAAAAAACGACAGGGGTACTGTCATTTTTTTCGGGGCGAGAAATTAAGTTTCTCCAATCTTCTCAAAACTCTGGATCCCATTCAATAGATTGCAGGCGGGATAGTGTTCAACATAAAAATGGATTGAAACTCATACAGGTTTGGAACAACATGAGGGTGAGTAAGTGCAAGTAAGTGACCTGAGTGCAAAAATGGAGGCTCTAGACCCTTCCAGAGCTGAGATATTGAGATATTTATAATGGCTTAAATGCTGCATGGGATCTCAATATCTCAGCTCAGGAAGGGCCTAGAGTCTCCATTTTTGCGCTCAGGTGTAAGTCTCATGGCCCTCTATCAGAATCTAGAGTTTTGAGAAGATTGCAGAAACTCAAAATTTCTTGCCCCGAAAAAAAATGACAGGGGTACCTCTGTCGTGTTTTTTTTTTTTTTTGGGTCGAAATTTTGAGTGTATTTTAAGGTGTATGTTAAGCACAGGTGTATGTTAAGCACTCTAAACAATGCTGGGTTGTTTCAACCCAAATTTGGGCCAAATATGGACTAACCCAAATGTTGGGTTAAAATTTTAATTAAAATTTTTAACCCAACTTCAACTTTCACTAAACTGTAAATTTTTGAATTACTTTTTTAACCCAAGATTTGGGTTTGTCTATATTTGACCCAAATTTGGGTTGAAACAACCCAGCATTGTTTAGAGTGAGAGTTTACTCAATTTATGCTGTGACTTATGTTGGGTAATCGTCCTAATAATAAAAGCAAGGGATATTTTCTCTTCAGTATTTGTGTAGTTTGCTAGGTTTACTTATAATATGCACTGCATAAAATTGTTTGCAATTCCACCACTGTCACTTTTTCATCTGTAAGACAAACAATATGTCCTATGGATAAAAAGATAATCCTCACATAATAGTGTCTTAGCTGTGTGATGCGAATGGCCAAAGAAGAGCCGTACATTGTTCTGTGAATGTTTACCTGACTTCAGCATAGAAAAATAACGGATTAGTGATTGTGATGGTGAATACTAATGAGACAGCGTCTGTTTAGCTGTGACTCATAGCTGAGATTATATAGCTGGAATTATGTCAGGATGATTGTCAGGATTTAAATAGATTCCAAACTCAGTGTGTTCTCAGCTTCTGTAGCTGTCTGTCACATATTCCACAGAGACGACAAGAGTGATATCAGCAATTTGAACTTTTAAGTGTCACATATTTTTAATCATCTCTCAATGACAAGAATGCATGTTGAATAAAAGAATTATGATAATGAAAGGAAATTGAAGGGATTTGGGGTTTCATGATGACACTAGATTCATGGATTCTTTGGCATGCACAAGTTTGTGATTTAAGTAACTGAGAGTACATTTCAAAGATATTTTTTTTTTATCCTTTTTTGTACTTTTATTATGTTTAGCCTACATCTATATGTAAGTGAGTGTGTGTGTGTGAGTGTGTGTGTTCACAAAAATTAAACTAGTCTTGATTCTATTTTGTGCGATTTCAAACATTCAAAAGTTTTTATTGTATGAAAGTCCGAATCAAAACATGAACTTTGTACTCTAAGAAAACTGGCATTTACAGACATGGATTATTGGAGGATAATCAGGAACACCGAAATTGCTCTTTGAGAGGTTCTTTCTGAAGCTTGCTTTGTTGAGTGCTCTGTGAAATTGCAGGGTGATCCACATGAAAAACAGTGGATGGACACATAATGGCACTTCAGTTGGTGGCTATTTCTGTCATGAGTGTTTGACATGGTAAGGTACATGACAAAGTTGATATGTTTGGTCTTGGCGGAATAAATCTGCTACGCTGTTGATGCAGAGCAAGAACGGGACTTGCTACTGCCAATAATAGACCATGAGCATACTAAATCATTCCTCTGAAAGTGAAGCTCAAAACATTTTAGACCCCGTTTGCACCTGTATTTAAAGGGATACTTCACCTCTGGAAAGGTGAATGTGTATTTAAAATGGGTCATTTATGTAGAATAAATGTGAAATTATTTTTGAATTTGGAGCGTTCTAGACTGAGAAAAGCCAGAAAATGTATTTTTGGCTTATGTGCATGAAAGACAACAACTCCCAGAATGCACTTGCTTCGCTGCCCTAGGAGGCCACGCCTACCGGTAACAGAGTACAGAAGTTAAACAACAAGTCTAGGCTACTAGTGAGTCTCCGTGATGAGTCTGCCCGAAAATGTGTTTCAAGATCGCCCAAAATGTCCGGGATTCGGCTTTTGCGTTCTACAGTCGTCATTCATCATGTTTACTGTGGTGAGCAGGACGAGGGAGGGTCGTGGGAGAACGGCGCGAGGCCGGTGGCGTGGTTACCGATGAGCGACACCTGTGAGACACACCGGTCTCGTATCTCTCACGGAGGAGCGGGAATTTTCTTAGCAATGTTAAAACGCACATCAATCAATCATTTGTTTAGCGTTCATGTAAACACTACATTTAGATTCACCAATCGCAATGTATTCAGTTAGATTGAAAAAAAAAGGTGTGTTCATGTAAACAATGAATGGCGACTGCAGAAAGCAAAAGCTGAAACCCGGATATCAACGGACGGACATGTCGGATAAAAAGAGGATGGTGACCCCTACTACTCATCTTTCTCCACAGAACAAGAGCCTGCTAGCTTAGCTTCCAAAAAAAAGATGGCTGACACTGTGTGTTCATTCTTTGAGTGAGACTGCACCCTATATGTGCGGGTTAAAAAAATGCGGGACAGCCCCTACTACTGACCGTGGTCTTTAGCCTCAGGCCAAAAAATCCTCAGATGATGCAAAATGACGATTTTTGCGTCATCTGAGGATTTTTTTCTAGACAAAAATACATAAATCTCTTGTCTCAGGGGGATATGGTGTGGAAAGCATGGTAATTTGAAAATACTAAAGGTTTTCTACTAATACAAAGCTTAATGCTAAATCCTGATCCCTTTAATGCCATCCACTTGTGATCTGAAAAGCACCATAAGCAGCTCAATTAGCCCTCTAGCGGTTAAAACAAACAAAACTGCAAGCATTTTTGCAGAAGAACATTGTTTTGACTCTGCAGATGATTATGACCCTTCACAATAGAAAATGACTTACAATGAACTCTGTTAGCTATGGAAATTAATCTGTTTAATAAAATACCTTACAGTAATAAAAACGATTCAGAGTGAATCACAAAATGGTCCGGCAATTTGCCAAATACAAATTTTCATTTGTGGTTTTTGAGTAGCCTAAATTGGAACAAATTTTGAGAAAATAAGGAAATTAGCCATTACACCTAAATGCTTTTCAAGTTCCAACTCAATGCAGAAAAAGCTAATGTCCATATTATCTATCAGCGACCCTCATACACAGTAGAAAAAACTATTGCTATTGGTGGATGTATTGTGAGTGATAGGTTGCCCCGCCCTCGCGCCAATATAAATAAACACGTCATCAGAGAAGAGATGTCGCTGTTATTTTGATAAAATATTACAAGGGCACATTAATAATAAAAAAGCATTTATAATAAACACAGCAATATTCCACAAAACGTAAGAAGTGTCCATTTTGATTTCAACCCGTCCGCTCCAAAACTCGCTGTAAAAACTTCACTACCCACTCACCCTTTCGCGTTTGGCTTTATCCTTCGCGGCTTCCGTAGGGTGTCGTGGCGCTTGTTGAGTTGGAAGGGGAAAGTACAGCGGCTTTACATAGCAAGATAAGCTAACATCTGTTACATTACTTTCAAAGTGTGGCGATCATATATCGTATCATAAAGATTTCCGGGCTATAATGAGGCGTGCAGGTTTGGGTAAGTATTTTTTCTCTGGTGTTATGTTTGAATCTCATGCTAAGCTATGTCAGTCACAGTTAGCTAACGTTATGTTAAATCAACACATTGTATGACCAAATCATGCTAAATATCACAGTTTCCAGATCCGGAGAACCACCTGTATACATAACGTTACTAGACAAAACAGTGTCTGACCTGATACAGACAATAATTAGCTAGTTTTCTCTGTATTAGACCAGTTGCTACATGGGTCACGTTAACACAGAGATGTTTACATCAGAAAATGAACGAGTGATTGTTAAGTTAATGTTTTAGCGTGTATGGCAAAATAAATACACATCTAAGCTTAACTTTAGATTCCTTCTATATAACGTTAGTTTAAGGAGGTTTAACGAAAGGAACCATCAAAAAGATGGGCTAATTTTAATTTATAAATAAAACTGGGCAGGAAATAAATTAGATTTTTAAACAAAACAGATTGTTTTAAAGGAGCTTTACAGTGATAGGAATTATTTTCAAATTATTTTTAATATCTAATTTAGATTTTTGTTTCAATGTTTCATCCATAACTAGTCCCTTACTTTTAAGATGTTCAGTAGCTTCTGATTTAGATTTTTCTGAGTTGATTTTGCAGTAAATGATTGCCCTGTCCATCTAAGACAAGTCAAATCTATTCCATACGTGGTGACGTTTGAAATAGTATGGTGTGATTGGATATTGTATTTTAAAATACTGAGAAACACTAGTGCTTTCTAATGAATTTGACCTGATTGTTACTTGTTCGATAGGTGAGGGAGGCCCTCAAGGGAATTACGTTGCGAGTGGATACAGCGTGTATGAGGAGGAGAACGAACATCTACAAGAGGGACTGAAAGCTAAAGTAAACGCACTCAAACATGTGAGTAGACTTGAGCACATTTTATATTTATATATATTTACAGCTTACATTTTAGTTATTATATAATATTTAAAATACTTAAATACATCTAATGAAAAAAATCTATTTCAGCTGTCGATTGACATTGGAAATGAAGTCAAGTACCAGAATAAAATGTTGGGAGAAATGGTAAGCAATGGGAAATGATTAATTATAAAATCTAACACTGATCTGAATGGCTTCATCATCTCGTGTTTGTTTCACCTCAAGGACTCGGACTTCGACTCAACCGGAGGTCTGTTGGGATCCACCATGGGTAGACTGAAGCTCCTTGCCAGGGGGAGCCAATCCAAGGTGTTCTGCTACATGCTGCTGTTCGCCCTGTTTGTCTTCATTGTCCTGTACTGGGTGATCAAACTGAGGTGATCTGAGGACCGATGAGATCCAGGACATTTCTGCCATACTCGTATGGGGGATCCAGTGCCATACTCATGGGGGACGGGATCAGAATCCTCACAGTGACGAAGACGAGAAGTGTTTGACTGCTTGCTTTCCATTGGACAAGAAACTGAACCATTGAGTGACAATGTGCAATATGAAAAATCTGTATACATATAAAAAATATATCTGTCCCAACCCACTAAAATTAATGTTGTCTCAGTGCAGGGATAATGCTACTCATTTAATACTGGTCATGAAAAAAAAGATAAACAATAATTTATCCAATAATGACCTTTGTTTAATGATATTCTTTTAGGAGAACTTCAGTGCTATAAATGTGTGCCGGACTCTATATGGATACTGATCAAATAAGGAAATTAAGGTTATGACAACTGACCAGAAGAGTAAGCTGGATGGTGTAAACAATTTAGCACTTTTTACCATGCAAGTCTATACAATGTCTTTGAAAGATTAGCCAAAAAAGATTGCTTATTGAATAGTATTTAAAGGGCTGATCTTGAGACTGTGAAAACCGTACTGGCATATGTGAAATTCAGTTTTGTATAATGATCATACTACATCAGTAACCACCCCAGACTTCTGTGTTGTTCAGAAATGTCTTGCATTATTTTTTGAGGTACTTGCTCAAACCCTTCTCCTCTCTATGGTTAACATAATGCATGGTTTATTTGAGTTTTTCAGAGACTAATATGTAAATAAATGTCATTTTTGAGAGAATTATTACATAAAAATTCATTTGTGTTGTCAAAAGCTTGAGTCCTGTATTCATGTATACCATTTGTGGTTTTTAAGAATTATGAAAACTTTATTATTTCTTTTCATGCATATTAAAAAACTAAGTTATATACAACTGTAATCAAAATTTACATACAATTTTGTCAGTTTTTCATCAGCCAACTCTTCATTAAGGCAACAATATCTGACTGCAAGTTACAGATCATCTTAAAGTTGATGTAACTGCTACGATAACTTAAATAATCCATTTACATTTTGTGTTAGATTCTCAAGTTCATTGTAAGTGCACTATTTTTCACACCAAATTCATTTCAGTGATGTCATTTCCTGGGCAGAGTGTCCATGTACTTGCATATGATTGACAGCATCACCTCATCAGCTCCTGCACCAATAGACATTAATCTGGAGTCCCTGTTAAGACCAAAAAATAAATAAATTTATTTCTGACCTGAGGTTTAGGCTTACCATATATTTTACTTATTATTTTACACTTTTAACAATCAGTTGGACTTTCGATTCTCTGCATTGACAGCTCTTTCCACACACTCAAAAGCATATTTTGTGAATATGCATTCATGTGTATCAATTGCTTCATAGGAATCACAAGCACCCTTATTCAAGAGTGAATACATGAAGAGTTCAGATGCAAAAGCCTCTAAGTGGCATTTGAAATTTTCTTCTAAAATTATCATTTTTATCAAGCTTGTACATTTAAGTTCAGTAATTTCACTTAAATGGCAATGAAGATTACCTATTAATTGTCATTTAAGTGAAATTACTGAACTTAAATATACAAGCTTAATAAAAATGGTCATTTTAGAAGAAAATTTCAAATGGCATTTAGAGGCTTTTGCATCTGAACTCTTCACATGCAATCCAAACCTGTTGCTTTTAAATGTCACTAGATGTCACTACAGCTCTGAGAGCACATGCATGTTCACTTCATTTCAGATGAGACATGAGAGAGACTGACCTGTAGAACCTGCTGACCAGGACACCACTGGTAAAGCCCATGCCACCCCAGTACTGGAGGCAGCTGTCACCGACCTCTCGGGCCAGTCGTCCAGCCTTCAGCTTGGCCATCGACGCCAACTTTGTCACGTCGTTTCCCTTGATGTACAGAGCTAATGAAAGGGCACAGAAAACATCAATTCTAAAGGTATTCTTTCTCAGGTGCATATGCTGAGATTCAGCTCAATTTTTTTAATATCACAACTCGAGGGAGGAAAAACAGGTTCAAGGAATCGCAATTTTTTGATTAAAATAGGACATCAAAACAAAAACATTATTTACTAGAGGTTCTGACATAATGTTAATTGTTGAAGTCTTTAATTTTTTTTTAAAATCAATTTGAATAAAACATTTTTTTAATCGTTTTGAATGATTCAATGATTCACTCAAAGACTTATTTCATTACTGGATGAATCAGCATTTTTAAACAAATCTCTTGTCCTTAAAGGGACAGTGTGTACTTTATGTATTTTATTATTTAAAATCAATATTTTTAAACATAAATATGTCCTCAATGGGGTAAAAATACCTCTGCCAATTATCTGACTTATCCTCGTAAACCAAGAATTTAATATCGGTATATGCATGGGACAGGTAAGTCCACAGAGGCTTCCATGTAGTTCCGCCATCTTGAAAAACTATAACAGCAGAGAGGGACAAAAAGTACTAGGTCAACGCGTTTCCACAGCGTGTTTTCGTTCAGAGCCAGCGTGACGTGACAGAACGCAGCAGAAGCGGAGGAGAAGAGCGGTGAGAGGCGCTTGTCACGGCCACGGCAAGTTTAAAAGCCGGCATTGCAAATCCTCGTCACCAGAAAAGTCCAAAATAGATTGTAAAACGAAACGTGACCGGAGATTACAAAAAACACGAGTTAATGTCGGAAAAGCTTTTTCCAGATGGATAGAGCCAATGCAGGAGAAAGAGTTCAAAAGACTCCTGTTTTCTTCTCGACAAGTAAGTCAATGTTACAGTCTTAATTACATGCTTTTTTTCATTGTTTGCTTGTGTACTTTATATTATAAACAGATGAACATTTATTGTTAACAGTTGATGATATCGAACAATGCATGTACTTCAGAAAATATAACGAAAAAAGAAAGCATAACTATTTATTACAATAGTTCATGTTTTTCACAGTCAGTAATTCACACTGTAACATTTGTTTTTTTGTTGTGTCAGGTTGCTGTGTGTTTGAAATAACAAACCTGTTCACCGAAGGTACACTCGACGAAGTGTGACATCCTGTCATAACTTTTTGGTACATAATGGCTACCGTAGACGCAACGCGCAATTGAAAAAAGCGAGGCGCTGGAGAGCACAATTTGCCTGAATGCAAAATACATTTTCACCGCTAGATGGGAGAAATTCCTACACGTCGTCCCTTTAACCAATAAGAACCCGGACCAATAGGAAAATTATGGGGCAAATAAAACAGACTAAATGGACAACTTAAAATGTTTCTGCTGTTGTTTTTTAAATACAACCACTACTCGCAAAGATCTGCAAAGTTACATATATTTCACATTGGGCTTTTATTTCTCATTTGGAAAATAAATACATTTCGTCAGTTTTCTTGCTAAATAACTTTTTTCCTGTTTATTTTCTTTTCCAAAACATTTTCAAAATTTAAAAAAAAAAAGTTTTCCTGAAACTTTTTAAAGGGATAGTCCACTTTTTTTGGAAATAGGCTCATTTTACAACTCCTCTAGAGTTAAACAGTTGAGTTTTACCGTTTTCGAAGCCATTCAGACTGTTTTCTGATATTTAGAAGAATATCAGTAACCAGACAATTTCTGGTGTCATTGACTTCCATAGTATATTTTTTTCCTACTATGGAAGTCAATGAGACCAGAAACTGTCTGGTTTCTGATATTCTACTAAATATCAGAAAATCGGCTGAATGGATTCGAAAACGGTAAAACTAAACTGTTTAACTCTAGAGGAGTTGTAAAATGAGCCTATTTCCAAAAAAAAGTGGACTATCCCTTTAAGAAGTAATAGTTTATGCATTTTATTTGCTTTGCCTTATATTTCAAAACCAAATAACTGTGATCTTTTCAGGTAAACATTTTAATCAGAAATATATTTTTAGATTGTTTTTTCACAACTCGAAAATGTGCAAACTGAATAAAAATAAATATGGTGTTTTATACCATATGTTGCATATCTGCTTTAGTTACAGGTGTGCAAAATATTTTCAAAATACATTTCATTAAAGGGTAAACCCTAACCAACTTTTTTTTTCGTTAATGACCTGTAAGATCTGGGGCTTTATTATTGCTGCTCATTGAATTTGGACATTTGGGTAAAAGTGTTTTAATTCTACAATATATGGTGTAAAAACAGGTTGAATGGTGGCTACTGCAGTTGAATTTTCCTATTGGAAGTTGTAACCACGCCCTCGCCTCTCTCTGGGGCAGCGCCAACGCAAACTTGAATGTTCGCTGTGATAGTACTTGTCAAAGGATTTTAATGTGCAGCTCTAGTTCACACCATTTCATTCCATTATTCATTTGGAAATGGTGGCCCCTGTAGACCTACTAGACACAAAGCCATGAAATTGCAAAACTACCTTGGCCAATCATTCTAAAATAATTTCAGGACTCGCCTGTGGCGCGATGCAAAAGGGAGCGCAACAGCTCGATTTCTGTCTGCAGCTCGGCCAGCCTGAAGTGAACGACCTGGTGGTACAGAACCGGCTGTTTGAAGATCTTCCTCTGTCTGGTGTAGTTAATGGTCTCTTGGACAACTTTCTCCATCATCGTCAGGACTTGAAAAACAAGAAATACGACACAATCAGGTCTAACATACCAAAGGGAAATATTCCAATGTCTTTTTCAACAAATTATATGATAGAGGGAATAGTTGTAGACACCATCTCGACAGGAAGTAGGCAGCAATGATGTCAAAAGATCCCCCAGAAGATTTAAAACAGAGTTTGACTCATCTGTAAACACATTTGGGCCTGAGAGGAGAGTGATCTGGATTTATTGTACACACGCAAGCCCCGCTGACATTAACACACGGACGTCATGACCGTGCCAATCCCAACAGTGAAGAGCAATGTTTGACGTGCAGTGGGACATGTGGGAGAAAGGATTGCTTACTATTGGCTGTCCCCCAGAGCCGCTCCTCCTGGAATTGCAGCATCTGGTAAGTGAAGCCCATTCCCTCCTGCCCTATGATATTTTTGCAGGGCACGCGTACGTCATCGAAAAACACCTCTGCTGTATCCGAGGACAACATGCCCATTTTACCGATCTTACGTGCGATTTGAACGCCTGTGGACGTATGGTAAAACATTAGCATGTTTACTTTGGCAGACAAACGACTCGTTTCCTAAAGTTTTGTGCTTTTCCTCCAGTCTTACCAGGGAGATTCATGGGTAAGCAGATTAGGGATTTGTTCTTGTGAGAAGGGTCATCGCTGGTGTTGGCCAGGAGGCACATCCAGTCTGCTTGTGTGCCATTAGTAGTCCACATCTTTCCACCGTTAATGACCAACTCGTCTCCTTTGCGCACAGCTTTAGTCTTGATGCCTGGAGGAGATAGTATTTATAGACTCTTTAGATCAGTGGTTCTCAACCGGGAGGCCGGGGCCCACATTAAACTTCCAAGGGGGCCAATGGGTGACTTAAAATGATTTAGATGAATAATACTAATATTTTACAATTTCCAATAACATTAATCTAAAATTATTCATATATATAAACACTCTAACTTATTTAAACATCATAAAAATGCTAGTTTTTATTGAAAACTATTGACTTCTTGAACAATTATTTTAATATTATTTACATACTGTTCTACTATTTTTAGTGTTTTGAATTAGCTCTTATTTTTATCCTTTTAATTTTAGTACAAAATTTAGTAATATTGTATTAGTTCATTTAATATTTTCATATAGCTTTGGTTTATTTTTATTTCAGTTTTAGTCATTTTAGTACTTTATTTTAGTACTTGTTTATTTTAGTTTGTTGTGAAGACAACATTTAAGTTAAACTT